TGGGTAGAGGGAGGAGTGGGTAAAGGAAATGGGAAGGATGTGGTGTGAAAAACAATGTATACCAATTTTGTAAGCAAAGTGGTATAAAAGAAAAATTTAAACAGTAGAGTGGGTTATGTTTTATGCAGACAATGCACACACTATATAATCGATGCAAACCACATCATTTCTTCATGTGTTAGTTCCCTGTGCATATTATATACATGTATGAGGTGTGTTATTTGCAAAATACATTGTTACCTATGGATTTCTTAGGTAGCACCAATGGTTAGTGCCTAACTGTTAACTGAAAAGGCTGGTGGTTCAAACCTGCCCAGAGAAGCCTCTAAGACAGACCTGGCCACCGAGATGGACAGATTACTCTGACCCGCATGGGTCCTTGAGAGTTGGAATCAAACTTGACGGACTGCAAATATCCTTATGAACACAATCAGGATACAAGGGAGGATGGTGAGACTTCAGGCCGCATACTCGGGCTGAGTCATCAGCAAAGACCAAAGGCTCAGAGGAGACATCTGGCAACGTGGAGGGTCGGCAGAATTGAGAGAAGCCCCTGTGAGCCGGCCTGGCACTAAGGCCCTGGACGCAAACACACCGTCAGTCATGAGGACACTTGGGGCCTGGGAAGCTTGGCTTGCTGTCCATCAACTGTCTGTGACCTGGTACCAACTTCACTGCAACTGCTGACAACAAATTTCATCTGTGCACTGCTGGACTCTGACTCCACCAGCCCCTTTCATCCTCAGAACAGCCCTACATGGTAGGAACAATTACACCTCAACAAACGGATGCAGAAACTGAGGGTCGAAGAGGCCGAGTCACTTGCCCAAGTGACGTGACGAACAAGCAGTGGAAACAGGATCTGAACCCAGGTCTTCCGCCTCCAGCACCTGTACGTCAAGCACCGTGATACATCTCCAGGAACCGAGGCAGAGGGAGGCTGGCTCTGACCTCAGTGTCGGCAGTAGCCCCTTCCCAGGCCAGCAAACAGTCCCCACCCCATGGACATAGCAGCCCACCTTCTCCATACTGTCCCAGTCCGTGATGACCGCCCGGCACAGGGGACTTTGCAGATTGAGCTGCTTCCGGTTATTCTGAGCCTCTGTCCCAAGGAACCAGGTTTTCTCGTCCATTCCTACCAGCACCTTCTGAAAAACACAGGCCGGACTGGTCAGCTCTTACACCCTTTCTGGTCTCCTGTGATGATATGAGGAGGCAAGGCAGTGGCCACGGTCAAGGTCACTGTGTCTGTGGCTTTCTCAAGCCCTTGGCACTAGTTCTCCAAGGGAACAAGGGCCAACCACACCTACACCCAGTGAGTGGCCTCCAACTCCTAGTGGCCACATGCAGCAGAGGACAGCTGCCCCGTGGGGGTCCCAGGGCTGACATCTTCCCTGGAACAGCCGGTAGGTTCAAGCCACTCAACTTCTGGTTCACAGTGGAACACTCAACAACTGTGCCACCTTATGGCCACTAACCAAAAAGAAAAAGGAGACACCAGTGTTCTGATCAGCCAGCAACCCTCCGCCGGCTTTCCGAGGCTGCAATCTTAATGGGAGCAGATTGCACATCTTTCTCCTTCAGAGCTGGTGGACTTGAAAGGCTGACTTTCCTCCTCCTTTTTTATTATTTTTTTGAAATTAATTTTAATGAACATTTACAAAGATTTTGTTTCCATCCATTGTTGCACTTTGAAACGCTGACTTTTAGGATAGCAGCAAACATGTGAAGTGTTCCCTCCTTCCTGTTATCATTGGTAGAGGTGGTCCCATCAACCCCGACTCGCAGTGACCCGTGTACACCCAACCAAGCCTGGCTGGGCTCACGCCATCCTCGCAGGCCTGCTGTGCCCGTCCACGGCCACACTCACGGTCAGGTCTCAGAGCCGGTGCTCAGCTCTGACTCACGTTCACCTCCTGCAGAACCGCCTCCCAGCGTCCTCTAGCCTGTACTCCTCACAGCTCTGGTGGCCTAGCGTCAAGAAGCTCCCTACAATCCCGAAGGCACACGAGCCTGCAGAAGGATGGGAAATCTCCTCCCCTGGGATTAACTGTCTCTGAAACCCCCCGGAGGGCCAGCGATGGGTCAGTTCTACTATACGGTCCACAGAAACAACTCCTCCCAGTAGCAGATCACAAGGCCTTGCTTCCACAGGACCGCTGGGCGGGTGTGAACCAGGCAACTTTAGACAGATGGCAAGAAGCTCCTCTGAGACCCCCTCCCTTGCTTTAGAGACAGAAACTGGAGACATTTCCTGGGGAAGGGTCTGCTGGCTTCACTTCTGCCCCTTCTCAGGATGCTGAGGGGTTTGATTTCACTTGCATTTGGACTCCACTCCTGACAGTGATGCCATCCACACACCGTAACAGCACTCTCCCCATCCCTCCCTGTGCGTCCCATTTCTCTGTGTCCTTCTTTCCTATCTCTTCTTGGCTTCTGAGTCCCATCCTGACAGTTCCACCCACGATCCATCAGGAGATGCTGGCCTTATGATGGAGTTTGGCTGGCTGTTCTGAGTGTGAACCTGGGTATCATTGATCACCTATGACCCCCTGCAGGGAGCTCTGGTGGCCTTGTGGCAAGAAGCTGCATTGTGATCCTGAAGGTGTATGGTTCAAAGCCACCAGCTGCTCTGTGGGAAAAATGAGCAATCTCCTCCTGTGTGGTTAACTGTCTCTGAAAACTCATGGGGGTTGGGAGGAGAATAGAGTAAGAGTGGATAGATCATGACCATTGGATTGGGACAGATCAAAGAAAGAATCGTCTACTGTCTAAAATGAATATATGATCAGGCATTATACGTATGACAACATCCCAGAATAGGAGATATATCATTGCAAAGAGGACTGGGGAGGCGGGGGGTGGTGATGTAGGTAATTGTGCAACAATGAATGAATAAAAAGTTAATTGGGGAGGGGAAAGAGGGTCAAGGGGCAACAATGAATGAATGAATGAGAATCTAAGTTCTCTGTAAATTTTGATTTAAATCACAATTAAAATAAAATTTTAATAAAAAGGGAGAAAGAAAACCTGGCAGAGGGTCAGCTACGAGTCGGTTCCAACTCAAAGGTAAACCACCCCCACCCACTGCGGTCAAGTCGTTTAGGTCTGGCTCGCCCGAGCCTCTGTGGGGTTTCTGAGGATAAAGATGCCCAGCGAGGTGGACGGCACAGACTGGGGCGATGCGCTTACCCAGGTACAGCCCAAGGAGCCCAACCGAGACGCCGCGAGGGTTTTGGTCTGAGTTTGCGCTGCCTCTCCAGTGACAACAGTCTTAACGGGAGGAGAGACCACCTCATCCGCCTCCCTCGAAGCAGCTGGTGGGCTCCAACCACTGACCTCTGGGTTACCAGCCCCGTGTGTGTGTGTGTGTGTGTGTGTGTGTGTAACCTGCTGTCCACCAGCTGCTTCCAGGGCAGGGTGAGCGCTTCCTCTTGCCTTGTGGAGGACTGGTCAGCTGGCCGTGCATTCGTGCAGGGACAATGAGGACCAGGCCTCGAGCTGCTGTGACAGACGTGGGCCTGCGGGGTACAGCCGCCTGGACCACAGCTGGTGTGGGGGTCTGGGGAGAGGTGATCAGCGTCCTGAGCTGGCCCCTCGCTCACAGAGGGCCATGCTGACTAAGGATCCCCGCTCGGAGCTTCTGTCTGTCTGTCTGAACACAGGTGTTTAGCTATCCTTTCAGCATCCACGACCTTCAGGACACCGGGAGCCAGAAACCGCGGGGCAGTGGTTTGTCCTGGAGTCTGGGGCAGCTCTTCTGAGAAGCCTCGTGGCTCTGCGTCAACCGAAACTGCCGACAGACCAAACCAGTTCCCTCGGGTGTGTCAGGAGCTGCCGGCCACCTCTCCCAGCCTCAGCCGGTCCTGTTGGTCCCCGGTCAGCAGGGGACTGGCTCCAGACGACCCAGTGAAGGACGGCCAGGGGACTGGAGAGTCCCGTCTCCCGGGAAGAACCTGCTTCACGCTCGCGCACTCTCACTCCCTCCGAGCTGTGAGCTCAGAACCGACTCGCAGCAGAGCCTCCCGCGTGCTCTCTGAGGCTGGGACTCGCACGAGCCCTAGTGACCAGCACAGCACGTAACATGCTGCCCCTGGAGCTAAAACAGACTTCGGCATTTTAAGTGGCTGCAAAAAGTCACAAGGATGTTTGATGGTGAGGAGCAGTGGTGGAGCTGTCCCGGCAGAGCTGTGCTGCTGACTGGAAGGCCACATCTCTCCGGGGGTTCGAATCCACCAGCTGCTCTGAGAGGGAAAGACAGGCAGCCTCCTCCTGTGTGTCACAAACACTATCTTCTGGAGGTCAAACGACTCACCCACTGCAGGGACAGTGCGCTGACCGCTGGTCCCAGGAGGGGCACAGAGGGTTAAGTGCCTGCTACTAGCCGAGAGGTGGGCGGTCCAAACCGACCCCGAGGCACCTGGGAACAGAGGCCTAGTGACGTGTTCTGAACGGTCCAGCGTGGAAGCCCTGCCGAGCAGCCCAGCCGACTTCTCATTCACACGTGGGGTGACCATGAGCCAACTCAACAGTAAGGCCACCGTCAGTTTTCTGTTTCCACCCCGTCAGAAACCCCACACCTGTCCCCTCAGGGAACCCCACTGTGGAGGCCTGACTCTGGGAGCACTGTGGGGTAGAGGTGGGCTGCACCCCCAAAAGGTCCCATCACTCACATCATGCCGTAGCTTCCCGAGGACAGTTGGGAACACCACCATGGGGGACTCCATTCCCCCAAAGCCCACCTTGCTGACTCCCGAGCCATAGTCACATACAATGGGGTTGTTGTCCATCCTGCCGCATGGACCCTGGGGGTTGAGAGGAGGGGTAATATGGTCAGTGGCTACTTGTGCAAGATGGGCACGGAGCTGGGCTCTGACCATGTGGCTCCACAAGGTTTAAAGGTGGGCCTCAGAGCCCTGGGGGCCGTGTGCACTGTCCCACCCTTGAGCCAGCCCTCTCTCTGGACACAGAGCCATTCCCGGGAGCAGGAGTGACCTCAGACTTCCAGGCACATGTGGCTGCAATCTAGGCATGGGGAAGGGGAGCGTTTACACTGTGACTCCCCCCCATGGAGTGACTTGTGTCTCTGCTAAGAGAAGAGAACCCGTACCTGTGAGGTGACCTCGTTTGGATAAAGTGTCTGTGAGGCTGTACTCCACCAGGGGAGCGTTAGCTCATCCTGTCAGGAGACGGTGCCCCCGGCTCGGAGCCACAGAAGCAGACCACCTCATCCTTCTCGAACCACTGACCTTTCCATGACAACTGAGTGCTTAACCATGGTGCCACCAGGGCTGCCAATACTGGACTGAAAAGGACAACACTCGAACCCCTTTCTACCTTGTTAGACCTAGTCACAGCTGACCCTCCAGTGGGTTTCAGCAGCTGTAAAATGCATGAGAATCTGCCTTTCTCCCTCAGAACCGCTTATGGATTTGAGTCACCAGAGAGGTGCTTCCTTTGGGGTTCTCAGCACAACTCCCTGCACCACCAGGGATCCTCTGAAACTAGGCTGAGGAGGGCTCTACCCCAGCAGAAGGAGCCAGGTGGCGTGGCCACGTTCTGAGACCTGTCAGGGACTCCAGAGGATAAAAGACCCCCTGGTCTGCACTTCCGAGGGACAGGTAGGAGGTTGTGTCCTGTCCCGTGGTCACTGCGGCAGAGCCCGTGCCCAGCACAGGGAGCAGACCCACCATCAGAGCAGAAAGGAAGGGAGGAGGTTCTAGTCCCGTCTGTTCTCACAGGGAGGCCGAGAGGTTCAGTGACACAGAGAAAGGATACTGTTCCTGTCCTTGTCAGCAAGAATGGATTTTCTGAGTAATAATAGCAATCAAGAGCTCAATCTTAAAAAAATAATTTAAAAAAACAAAAAAGTTTTAAAAAAGAGTTGAGGCTTTACTATTTATTAAAGAGAAAGAGCACACAGGGAAACGCACCTACAATCAGGGACCTCCAGGACCATGGAAGCTGGAGAAGACGTGGGAGGGTCTCCCCCCAACCTTCCAAGTCAGCAGGGCGCGGGCTCCCCCAGATGCTGGCCACTCCAGAGCCGCATGAGAGGAGTGTGTGATTGCTTAGCGACACAGCTTGTTGTGGAGCTCACCTGAGACCGGTGAGAGCCTGGTTCTAGACCACCGCAGGGAAGTAAGCAACGTACAGGAATTTTGTCATTTCCCTATGCCTCTAAATATGGAGCTCTGGTGCCTAGAGGACAAGGAATTAGGCTGTCCATCCAATGACAGGCAGTTCAAATCCACCAGCTGGTCCTTGGGAGAAAGACACTCTCTTCTCATGTGACTTCAAGGCGCAATCAGCTGTGAGTGAGTTTTGACTTGACAGCAAAGAATTTGAGTTTGAGTTTGAAAGCTTCTAAACTTTATGCTTACATTCTGCTGTGGTCTTTGACATGTGCTACAGTGACGGAAAGGTTTGTACCTGGTGAGAATGGTCAGAATTGGACAGAGACAGGACGAGAGTGAGTGTTGTAGGTGCACTGGCACTGAGAGACTTGCTGGATGACACAGGTCGTCACAAACCTTCAGTTTGTAAAAGATGCAGCATTTGCAAAGCACAATAAGACGAGGTGAGTCTGTGCTTAGTGCCCCCCCCCCCCCCCGCCCCAGCAAGCTCTGCAAAGAGTGAACAGGCACTGGCCCCACATGTTTCCTTGGCAAACAGCTGGCCTGAGAGAGAGGATTTGAAGGACTCTTTCCAGAAAACCAGTTGTGGTGATGACACGCGAGTCACGGTGCACAAGTACATCAGAGCAGAAGTGTGTTCCACGGGACTTTCAGGGCCTGAAGCTTCGGGATTAGATTGCCAGGCCTTTCTTCCGAGGTACCTTTGAATGGAACCAAACCTCTGATTTTTCAGTGAGAACCCAGTGCTTCACTGAGGCACCCAGCCCTGAGCAGCTCCCATTCCACCGTGCACACGGCACCCAGGCGCAGGAAGGGCCCACCCTGGGGACTCGCATCAGCCATCCTTTCAGGCAATTTCATTTGAACTTAAGGAAATTAGCCCTGGTAACAAAACACAAGGCTTTTCCTTGGCTTCGTACCACATCATCTAATTCGGGCTCCCATTTCCATTTCTTCAGCAAAATGAGAAAAATGAGGGCAAGAGTAATCACGCCACTCTCCCTGAGCCAGAACACAGTCCTCGGGGCTCAGCAGGGGATGGAAACTAGTTCAGAGTGGGGGAGGAGGGGCTGCCTGCGAGGGGCTGGGTCCCCGGCTTGCCAGGGCCGCTCAGGGCAGAGCAGGGATGCAGGTCCCAGGAAGCTGAGCTGGATGAGGGGCCCTGTCTTGAGAGCCAGAATATCGAGCATCAGCTCCTAGAAATACAAATCCACGGGAAGCACACAGGGTGGGGGAAGGAGAACATTCCGTTAGTTGAGAGAGGACGTTGTTTAAGGACACCTACCTGTGTGCCAAAGGGGGAGAGGGCTGAGTCAGCCCCACACTGCGAGCGCTGTACTAGACACGTCACCAGTGGCAGAGACATCGCTCGCTGATCCACCAGGCACCAGGAGTCCTGACCCTTCACTTGTGGTCCTCCCTGAGACTAGATGTGTTTTGTCCTGTGAGTGAGGTGCCACCACTGTAGGGGGGTCTGAACCCCAGTCAGCTCTGAGTTCTAGAGAGCAGATGAGACTCAGAGAGAAAGCAAACAGGAGGTGACGGGACGTTGAGATGGCCACGGGGCCCAGGAGCACTGAGCTTGAGCAGTGAGGCCAGCGCCTGCCGCTGCAGCTGCGGCCAGACTCGGACTCCCAGCCTCCGGAGCCGTGAGGTGGGCAATGGCTGCTCTTCAAAACCCCTCTCGTGGTAAAGCTGTTACAGCCGCACGAGGAAGCGGAGGCCCTTTCCAAGGCTCTTTCTGGCCAGTGCTCCAGCGTGGGGCTTATGTGCTCACAATACAGGCCAGCTCCTGATGAGTCACTTCTAACTCACAATGGGCCGTGTGACAGAGTGCACCCCACGGTTTCCTAGGATGTCACTGTCGCAGTTTAAAGAGTCACTGGTACCTGGCCCAAGTCATGATATTTTCAGTTACTTTGCCTAGATATGAAAGCTGCATTAAAAATAAGGATGGTAGAAGAAGAATTGATGCCTTTGAATTGGGCCAGTGGGAGAGTTCAGAACCTGCCATGAACTGCTGAAAAACAACCACATCTGTCTTGGAGAAGGTGAGCCCAGGTGTTCCTTTGAACCAAGGATGGTGAGACTTTGTCTCACATACTTTGGCCATGCGATCAGAAGGCACTAGTCCTTGGAAAAAGATAGCATAGAAAGACGGAGAGGCAGTAAGGAGAAGACACTCGCTGAGACAGATGGACACAGTAATAGTAACAACAGACTTGAGCAGAGGTTGTAAAGGTCAAATGAGATTTCAATATGTAGGACTTGGGTTTACCATGAGACAGAGTCAACCCAGTGCAACCCGACAATGATGACAATCTCTACCAGAACAGGTCACCTGTCCTCTCCTACAGGACCACAGGGTGGTGTAAGCCCCCGGACCAGACAGGTGATCTCCTCCTGTAAAGATCTGCAGCCTCACACATCTGACGGGGTTGCTAGGCATGGGGACTGACCCCAGGCCGGTGGGTTTGGAATATGTAGAGACAGATGAAGCTAGATACAGAGATGGAGATAAAAATACATAAACATGCAGGTATATCCAGATAAGTCTGACAGATGTGTGTATGTGTTTATGGCGTTTGTAAACATTTGACATCATTCTTGGCCTGGTATTGAGTGACGCCCACTGTATTGATTGCGATCAATACCATGCAAGCTAATGCTGCATTCTTCGTATACAGATGCAGGATTATTTCAGCTGGGAAGCCAGGTTACCCCAAGAGCTGGTCCAGGCACTGTTAGGAGCATAGGCCTGACAGGTTAAAGTTCAGTGTTTGGGTTAAAGTTAGGGTCACTCCTCATAAAACCGTCTCCTCCTGGCACAGCTCAGCGTGTTGGCTAAGTGGGCACCATGCCTGTCAAAGCCCATGGTCATCAAACAGTAGCAGTTACTCCTGGAATCTAACTAATAGTGCATCCAGGAAGAGCAGCTCAAGTGCTCACTGGAGGCAAGGATGGTGGAACTTCATCTGGGCATGTCGTCAGGAGACACCAGGCCTTGGAACAAGACATCGCGCTGGCCAAGGTAGAGGGTCGGCAAAGAAGTGGAGGACCTTCAATGTGCTGGTGACTCTAACAGTGGGTTCGACGTGGGCGAGACCATGAGGACAGCGCAGGCAGGATGTGGCAGGTTTCGCTCGGTTGTCCATCAAGTTGCTATGAGTCAGTCGACTGAAGACATCTAACAACAATTAATTATGTTTTGTAAATAAAGTCCACAACGTCAGGTTGGAGATTAAGGTGCACCTGATCCAGGCTGTACTCTTCACAATTACGTGCTATGCATCAGAGAGAGAACTGATGCCTTTGAGCTGTGGTGCTGGAGAAGAGTGTTGAATATACCATGTACTGCTAGGAGAACAAACAGGTTTGTCCTGGAGAGGGTGAAGCCAGAATGTTCCCTGGAGTCAAGGATTCTGAAGCCTCATCTGACATAATTTGGGCATGTTGCAAGGAGGGACTGGTCCTTGGAGAGGGACATCATGTTTGAGAGAGTGGAGGGACAGAGAAGGAGAGGAAGACCCCCGATGAGATGGATCGATTCTGTGAGTGGAGTAGTGGGAATGAGTGTGTTTGAGACGACAAGGTTGGCACAGGATAGAATGGAGTTGAGAGCTCTTGTACATAGGGTCACTATGAGTTGCAAG